AGGATCCAGTCGTCTTTAGTTGCCATCTTTCTTTAGTCTCTTTCAGAACAGAACAATTTCTCAGTATTTTCATGTCTTTCATGACCTTGACGCTTCTGAAGGTTACAGGCCAGTTATTTTATAGAATACTCCTCAATTTGTGCTTGTCGAATGTTTCTTCATGATTAGATTCAGGTTATTCATCTTTGGGAGGGATATCACAGAAGCGATGACAGCTCTTTTCACTGTATCTTAATCAAGTGGTGTACGATTTCAATGTGTCCCATGACTGATGATGTTCACTTTAATCACTAGGTTAACATGTGTCTGCCATTGTAAAGTTACTCCTTCCCCTTTGTAACAACCAGTATTTTGTGGGAGAGTACTTTGGAACTGTGTTAACAGCCCATTCTCATCAAGCTTTAAATTAATTAATATATATCTATACCTATCTGGATGAATTCATAGGTGCCAATTTTACCCAAAGGGTTATAATCTATTATTAACACATTTATTTTGAAACTCGAATGATCTCTGGTTTGACCATTAAAAAAGCCGAACCAGTTGCCACTGAGTAGATTCCAACTCATGGTGACCTCATGTGTGTCGGAGTACAACTATGCTCGATAGGGTTTTCAAGGTCAGATTTTTCAGAAGTACACCGCCAGGCTTTCCTCCCGAGGTGTCTCTAGGTAGACTTCAACTTGCAAACTTTCGGTCAACAGTCGAGCAAGTTAACAATGTGCACCACCCCACAAAAACCAAACCAAACCCACTGCCACAGAGTCAGCCATATGTTACAGGCTACAGCTGAGCTCCATAGGGTTTTCTTGGCTGTAATCTTTATGGAAGCAGATTGTGAGGCCTTTTTCCATGGTGCCACTGGGTGGGTTTGAACCGCTAACCTTTCAGTTTTGCCCCACCCAGGGACTCCCATTTGACCAGGAGAAGCCCCTTCAAGCTGACTTCCGTATCTCTTTCAAATGTCTCCATCATTTTTTTAGTGCTTCCTCCTTGCTTTCTGTCACAAAAAAGTGTTCCAAACTCATCTTGTACTTTCCAGTCGCAGTCCTTGAATCAGTCATTTCTCCAAAGATTAGTTCCTTTTTATGGAGAATGAAATTTAGAAGTCAAGATCTGAGTGTTAGCTGTGCTCATTGCTACTGGACTGTCACTGCTCTCAGGCCCTCTCAGTAGACAGAGCTAGGAAATATATGTTATGTGTCTATATCGATTCTCAACATACTAAAAACCATCAGTACACAACTATACCTCCAATTACAATCCATCTAGTCTTTGCCTTCCCATATTGCTTCTCTGACAGTTGAGAAATCTGACTTGCAATATCCCTAATATACTTATTTGATTAATTCCTGAATATGTAACATGATCTTAGCTGTCAGCTCTTCTACTTGGATGCCCTCCTCCCACCAGCTGGGATACAACACACTACACCAGGCCACATCCTGAGTGGATGACTCCACAACCCACTTGAGCTTCGGAACCCCACAGCAGGCCACTCCTACATGTATATACCTTCTTCAGCCTGTTTGGACTCTGACACTCTATCCCTACACTGGGCTGCCCTCCTCATCATGCTTGGGATCTGACACTACACCAGACTGCCCTTGACACAGACATCCTTCTCACACAATTCTGGCTCCCCAAGCTAAGATATCCTTGCTGGGATTAACCCTTCTTACTCTGCACAGGCTTTGACACTCCGCTCTGAGCCCTGGTGTAGATGCCTACCTTGCTCTGACTCATCTAATGCCATCAGGTCCAAACTCTTCAGGAACCAAAGGGAAGGAGAGGATTAGAGAAACGGCAAGAGTTACATTAATATATAAATATTCCCTTTGGGAAAAAAAACAGAGCTCAGGCAAAATAACCACAACACTGGCAGCAAAAGTCAAACATATTTTCAAAAGAGACTAGGTATAAAGTTAACAATAATTCAGTAATACTTACCTGAATTATATTTAAAGATTGAGAAATAGGGGGAGGAGGGCAGACAAAAAAAAAATGGAAGAGAATACTAAATGCCTTGTTTCAAATGCAGGGACCCCAAATATACCACTTCACTCCCAATTTTTATCAGAAATGTTTAAGTTGAAGAATGTTTTTTCAAGAACTTAACAGATAACAAGCAATAGCATTTTTAAAAACGCAAAATATATTTATTCTCTAAAGCAGTAAAAACTATAAAAATCCAAATAAAAACCAAATAAAAATATCAAAGTTCTTGTAATAAATGAAAAACAAGAAAGTAAACAATTAAAAAAAGAGAGACAGCACAGAACAAAGTAACAAGAGTGGGTATGTTCTCAGGCTGACCTATATTTACTTAAAGAACACATAATTATAGCGTTATAGGATCTAACTATCCCCTGTAACCATATATTTACTGAAAAGTTCATTCAGAATTCCAAACTGTAATGTCAACAAATACATCTTTCTTTCCCTGTTATAGAGACTTGAGAGATTTTCATTTACTCATTCTTCACACCTGCTGAGTAGTTGTAACTAGCATCTTACACTCTCCTAGATCCAAGCCGCTCACATGGCAAAGTATTTTCTTTTACGATTAGGCTGATGGAGCAGGGGTTCCATCGAGAGGGAAGTGGGAGTGGTAAGGAGTAGAGAAGTGAGCTGAAAATTGTGGGTTAGGCATGGGGAAGAAGTCATTCAGGGCTCTAGCCTAAGCCATTTTGAAATTCTGGCCCACTCCCTTTCTACTTTTTTTTTTTTTTCCCCAACCCCAGAAAATGACTTTTAAATCATGGGATCTCTCCTTTGGGGGCCAGTACAGCACACAGTTCAGGCTTATAGACTTGTTAAATTTTTAGACAGACTCCTCCCCATTTACCCTATCTCCGAACAATTTTTCTCTTAAACCTTTAAGGAAAATAAGGGTGCAAAGGTTCAAATAAATGGAAATTAGGAAAAATTATATTTTTTAGAAAATCAGACTTTACCTATCCTGGGGACCAAAGGGCATTGGGGTAAGGATCAGACTTGTGATTCTCTTTAGAGCTTATGGAGAAAGGCCAAGGTTAACTGTCAGCCACCTGCGAGATTAGAGAGGCGAGGAGTAAGAGAACATGCTTAAAGAGACAGAAGGAGAAATGCAGCTTGTGTTGCCTCAGAAAAACATGAAAAAGGAGCTTGAGGAAATACTAGATGTTTGACTTCCTGTATAAACAAGTTATATTAAACCTTACTGAGTACACAGAGTAGACATGTTATTAATATATTAGGAGGTATTATTTAAATTAATCCAACTGGACAAGCACAATCAAAAGGCCAAAAATACCTATACTACTATGTATGAGATTTTGTTCCTAAATCATGAAGTTGTTTTCAGATCATTAGAGAACACTGCTGTAAATGATAATACCATAATTTCTCATGATTTCCTATCATCAGGATTTTGTTCTATTACTTCATCATTTCATTAGCATGGCAATCTACAATCAGCCTAGAGGGTGCAACAATCAACAGTGCCAGGATGCATTTTTCTGAGTACCAGAATTTACAAACAAATCAGAAATGCAAACACAAGTACCACAGTAGAGCCCACAGGAATAAATTTCAAAAGTATGTAAAATAATCCAATGATTAAATATATTATTCAAATATATTAAAGATAATTTATTTCCCTTAATTGCTAACCTTCAGTCTTTAATATTAAAGAACAAAATTTATATAATGTTACAGCTACTTTTTTAGCATACTAATTAAAGGATAACTAAAACATATACTATAGCAAAGTATTTTGTTTCATGATTAGGCTGAGGAGTAATTCTTCATACACTGGTCTTTTCTGGAGCCCCATGTATTAAGTTATCAAACATGTTAAATCAATCACATGGATTTATCACCAACAGAAAATTTGTGATAAAATTCAAATAAAGCTTAATACTAAATATTTTCTTAAAAAATGACATTATCTACCATTTTCAATAGCCCCTAAAAAGATAAAATACTTAGGAATAAATCTGACCAGGGATGTAAAAGACCTATACAAAGAAAACTA